TGTATATGTCCACATAACAGTGAGGGGCTGTATATTTAATGAGAAATTAGAGATGACAGCTTAGTAGAGAAGCATGGACAACATGTTACCTATGTATTTAATGGAATACTATGCAATGAAAACATGAGCTACCAGCACTTTAAGACGGTTGTCATCCAGCTTATTATATTTCTATGACTTGACTTGTGACTTGCTTGACCTAAGCTATGACTTGACTTAGACATCATCAGAATAGACCAAGATCTGATCTACTCTCTGAACTTAGACCAGAACCTTCGAACCAACCTGATTGAATCCAGCCTTTAATCCACAATCTTCTTCTTCTGTGGTTCAGGTTGACATGTTCTGGCTCAGGATGACTTCCTGTCTGTTGTTGCTCCTGTTCTTCTTCCATTTTGTTCCTGCCATCATGGCCACCGCCCAACCCGCTGGCTGCAAAATCCGCATCACAGATAGAGGACTGGAGATGTGTAAGTACATGGATGTGACTGAGACCAGACTGAATGAGTTACACAGTGACTGAGACCAGACTGAATGAGTGACACAGGACTGACAGTATGTGGTTGTCATTGAAGTAGTATTTGTAGTATTTAAAGTACTAACAGTGTGTGTTTTGTGTTTTCAGTGAAGGCTGAGACTCTGAAGTTTGTGGAGGAGGAGCTCAGTAATATCAGTATGCCAGAGATGAAAGGCAAAGAAGGACGCTTCCAATACACCATCACTGAGTACTAATACTACATCATATTATGTAATTCTATAGTAGTGCTAGATCAATATTCAGTACTGATACGTGATAATTTCAGTGGGGATTATTCTGTTTTTATCTACAGGGACTAAAGATGGAAATAAATCATATGTCATCTTATTTTGTTTTTCTGCATGTTTTAATAAAGACTAACAATCATATTTAAAGAAATATGTATTAATACTTTCTCTCTCTCTCATAAGTGTGAAGATAACAGAGTTGAATCTGACTCACGCCGACCTTCAGTTCATCCCTGAAGTCGGGTTGTTGTTTGATGTTCAGAACTCATCGATCACGTTGACTTTCCATCGGCGGATCCTCTACTGGTTCTTGTTAGTTCTGATATTAATAATATTATTATTAGTAGTATTAATTAATAATTAATAATTAATAATTAATAATTAATTATAAATTAATCTGTCTGTCAGTCTGTCTATCTCTCGCTCTCTCTCTCTCTCTCTCTCTTACCCAAACTGGTCGAGGCAGACGACCACCCACCTAGAGTTGGGGTCTGGCAAAGTGTCTGTCTGTAAAAGGAAGTTCTTCCTTGCCACCATCGCCAAGTGCTTTCTCATGGTGGTACTTTTGGGTCTC